ATTGTCATTAAAAAAAAATCTCGAAAATTGGGACTTCGAAAGGGGATGGAGGGGGGATGCATAATGGAGGAGGGCTGAAAATTTTACTCAACAAGGGAAGGGGTCTGTAGAATCTATCTGAGCCACCCCCATCCCTCCGTTCGCATGCGTTAATTAAATGAAAAAAAAAAAACACCACGTGAAACGTACTATAAACGTCGTTTCAACCCAAGTCCACGTTTAATGATAGTCGGCAAAGTGAATTCCGTACTTACCGAGTTAGTTTCCCTATCCGCCAACAGATGGCGTTAGTAAATATCTACCTATGCACAAAATGCCCCTTAAAGCGAAAACATAGACGGATCCACGTCCAAAATGACCAAATCCATTGTACAATCTGATATTCCGCGAATAAAACCGTAAAGCCATAGCATAAAAATTCTTATCGTAATATTCTTGATTACTGTGAAGTAATAGTAGTTGAGATGGAGAGTTCACGGTGTTTTATGTCGACAGAAACGGGAGGAGGTTTTAATCCCTCTTGGCAGTCTGCGACCACACGCAGATAATTTGCTTCACTTCCAGAGTTGATGCTCTGCCTCGCTCTCTCCAACTCCCTCTCTGTTATTCCCGTGATGTTTATAAACGTCTTACGCCTTCAGGAGCTTCACCGATACCGTAAAGGGAGAGAGAAAAAATGAGGGAGATAGAGAGAGAAAGAGAGGAGAGCCCCTTGACGTCAACTTTAGGTCAGATTAAATCTGCCATATCGTTTTATTTAAAATTCAGAGGTAGAAAAAGAGATATGAGAACCGTATATTTTTGTACGTGACGAGTGACTCGGAGATTTCCCTCTTCATACTGTACTTGTGGGGTCGCTGCCCTTACACTATGTGTATTCTTAAACGTGTCGTCGAGTACTTTCAGACAAACAATAACGTAAGAGTACAAACACTCAGTCATAATGCGCTTTTACCACTCACTAAGCTTTGAATTATCACCTGAATGTTGTCTCCATTTTGTAAGGGATTTTTTGTCAAAGGATTCTGAGAACAATGGGGGAGGCGAGTCTATGGAAGGCCATTTTATTGTGTGAAAGTGCTGAAAGACTAGTGATGCCGCGAGTCACTTTACGAGACACAACTTTGGAGAGGTGATCTCGGTCTCAATGAACATGGAAATCTTTGCTCTCGACTCAGTCTCAAAATACGCGGTGTCGACTCCTCTCGTGATGACTCCGAGTCAATTTATCTCATTTCTAAATTCTAACTCTCTTCGATTTTTTTTTCGCCTTCGGCTCGGCCTCTAAACTTCACATTTGTGGAAAACGAATCACTTTCGGATCATAAAATCCTTCCTCTCAATTATTAAACTGAATTTTATGCCTGGAGAGAATGCATTTTTTAAATTGGAAAATTCCAGTGTCTCGGTACAGCGTTTACGTTGGACGAGTAATCTCAGGATTAGGTGCGGAGTCGAGCCGAATTTGTGGAGAGCTCCATGAATAGCCCGAGATTGTGGGTATCATCCTGACGGAACAATTTCTGGAGTCACCTTTCCATTTGAAAACTGTCATTTCATTGGTATTCGAGGTGATACGCCGTTCAGGATGCATTGTGGGTTCTTGCGCAGAATCTCAATCACACTTTGAGCGTGGAGAGAAGCAGTAAAAACAAATTGTTCGTCTCAGTGAAGGCTGTCATCTTGAGCTCTTTCTTTTGGATTTAGTGGTGTGTATGTGTACTTTTTTTGTGGCGGCAAGAAATAAATCACTGGGTGGTCAATGGAGATAGGGGGCCAGAGGGCATTTACCGCGTAGAGGCCAGCACGTGCCCACCCGCACTCTTGCTGATGCTTCGGTTTTTGAGTGAATAGGGTCGTATTTCGCGGTGCATCGTGAGAACAGCAACTGCCAGGTTTTTATTTATTTCTTCTTCTTTAATTATAAATTTTGAATGCACGGAGAGAAATGCTCAATAAAAATTACGGAACTCACAATTCGCTCACCGATTACGGAATCGATTTAGATAATTTAAGTGACGGTATCGTCATTTTTACAGGAGATTCAGATAAAAATTGCGGTACGCTCTGGAAAAATTCCGTGACAGTTCCGCAAAATTTCTTACAACCACATTTCGCCCCGGAATTACGGAAAAGATACGTAATTTTTCTCAAATTAAAAATATTTTGCTCTGAAATTAACCTACTGATATTTATATTTGTTTGTTTTATTCATTTATTTATTTTATTTCTTACTTTGGTTTTACCGAAGTATAATTCTTGACAAACACACCCCGCCTGCCTCTCCCTCCTCCCCTTCCAACTTCATTCAATAACTTTTGTCACTTGAACTACACTGTTAAACATTTTCATCTGAATTTTCCGTGCCAAATTCCGAAAATTTTTATCGTGTTCAAGTTCCACTGAAACTTCAGGACATCTTGTCATTGAAAAATCAAATATTCCATTCATTTTCTGTTAAAATAATCTGGAAATCAATAAAATACCTGATTTTTTCGTTCAATTATTCCGTGAATAATAAATGAATATTCCGAAAATTCAAAAAAATCAGGAAAATTCAGGGAAAAAATTGAAATTTCAAAAAAGACGTTGAATGTGACCGGTTTTATCTCATCCAACTCTCGGAGATCTCTCTCAAAATTACGTAGCATCATTATATCATAAGCTACCTGATAACATTAATCCCGTAACTGGGAACGTTTCGCACCGGCAACTTCCTCTGCAATCGGAGCCACACCGTCTCCAGAACCAGATGCGTAATCATGACGTCATAGACCAGCATTTCCACATCACATCTGATGGGAATGAATGAAACAATGAAAAATTGAATGAATGGAGCAATGAAAAATGGTCCAGGTTCAGCCTACACACAACCACCACTCGCCAGGAAGGATAGAATAAAAATTTGATGACTCGCACCATGAACTCAATTCAGGTGTCACATGAATTGTCACGCCACTCTTTCTTTCCTTCGAGTGCGAATTTATTTATTCCAGCTGAGGATGGCATTTTTACAAGTAGACACTGGCTCGTTTTTTCGCAGGTGGATTTATTTCACGGTATTAGCGGGCTTAACATTCACTCGAGTAGGCACGTTCACTCTTGCTGGGCACCCTCAGTCCTGTATCTAAAGTTTCTTCAATTGGTTCACAGTGTTTCTCAGCACGTTCGTGATTTTATCGACAACAATGCATCTACTGATCGTGTACTCGAAGCATTCGGTTAGATTTTCCGTTGTTGATTGAATTTTTATGGTGTGGAATTGAAATATTTTGTGGATGAGGTTTGGAGTGAAAGGAGCACAGTTTGAGGATTGTGCACATTCCATTTTTTAAGGGTGATTTATCGAGGGCTGGGGCTGACGGAATTTGTCGAGAAATTTTTTGTGGAAAACTTATACGGCTAGATGAAGATAGCAATTTCATGGACATTTGAGTAATAATTTTCAAGAAAATGACATTGGATTTTATTCAAGGGGGAGAGAGTAATTAAATGTCGAATTTCAATGAAAATTCAGTGAAATTCGAAATTTTGAACAGCAGGAAGACGCGAATTGCCCAACTTAATTGAATTTTCAATTGATTGAAAATTCACAAATACATTCACCTGACTTTTTCCGATTTTTATTGACATTCCGAGGATAATTAAACTGAAATTTACAGTTTTCATTGATTTTCTTAATAAAATTATGAAATTTTAATGAAGAAATTCCTCACAATTGAGTGCAAGTGCCACGCAAAAAAAATTGATAGGATTTCTCTAAGAAGAACATGTCTTGACCTTGGTGATATACGCAACCCGGCGACTTGGTCACTTCCGCGAGGATCCGGCGCTGTGTTATTACGCCAGCGTTGCCGAATTCACTCTGCACTGTGCGGGCGCGTGTAGCGAGTTTCCGGCAACCCCGCGCACCGCAATTTCATTTGACACTGAGCGGACAATTTCCTAATATGTAGACTATCATTTACTTGAGACAGCTACATTGTTTTCAATGGCTTGAAGCTCAGAATGTTTGCGCTTCACCGAACTCGAATAAATTCTCATTCGTTTGCGGAAACAAATGCAGCATATCAATAAAAGAAGACTCAAACATGAGAGTTACAAGGGGGGTAAATGTCGAGATGAAGGTAGCAAGTTGAAGCCACGAGAATATATTTTTTTTTTTCAGTCATTCGATAAAATATCAGTTTCTACCGCGGTCAAAACATCCAACGTTGTACGGGGGATTCTCAGAAAATATGGATTGTTGATGTTGTATTTTTGTTTTGTTTTTTTGCCTTCCCCCGGAGACAGTGTCTCTATCAATAACACTATGTTTCGATACTCCCTGAGGATTCCAGGAGGTCGTACAAGAAAATACGCGTTTTTTTTCAGCGATTTGTTTTTTTTCTGTGAGAAAAATAAGGCACGTAAAAGGGTATACGTAGAATAATACACCACAAACACCGTGATGTCACAAATAAATGGCCCCTCGGTAGTATAATTCTCTCCATGTAGTATTACTCGTCAAATCCCCTCAGTCTGAGCGTTAACACTGAAGTTATTCTTCACGCCAAATTTTCTAGGACATCGATTCGGTGTCAAACTGAACGCCGAATTTTTTGCTGTGAAGTTACATTTGAGGACAAATCGAGTTGATTGCTGAATGATTGCACAAAATGATTTCATTAACTTCGATTTCATTAACAAAATGATTTCATTAACTTTGAGGTGGGTTCAAGGGAATTTATCCGCAGGACTTTGGATGGGGGATTGAGTTCCCTTGGGAAAAAGTAGAAACGAGGGTCTTGAGACGTATTTGAAGAACTGCTCACGAAGATAATGCACTCTGATAATTAATTGCTCGAGAGAATTGCTTGATAATGACTTGTTTGAGAGAAATTTAAACAATTTTTGGTTTTGGAAATAAAAAAACACGTGATCGCTAATTACTGCTGAAGCAACCGCCTAACTTTTGAGAAATGCTCGTTATTCATGATTTTTTTTTCGTTTGGTTTCAGGAGTATGATCTCGAGCAGAAGATCGAGGTGGAGATCAAGATGCGGGAGGGATCGGCGAGACTTTTGGCAGCGGCAAGACACAGGGCTCAGAGTCTCGAGGCCGCCAGGGCTCTTCTCACTTCAAATGAGAGGATGTCTGCGTATATGGCTGAGCTGCAACGACGTAAGAAAGAGGCCATTAATAAACCGAGGTAAATTAGTGAATCTCTCGGTCATTAACGGACTGAGAAAGAGTGAAGATTCTCTCAGTGAGATTTTTTTAATTTGACAATTCAGCTATGAAGATTCCCAGAAAATTGCACTCTTCTTATGCATATCACTTATGAAAAAAAAACGTGAAAAACTCATTTTCGAAAAAAAATCGACTGAACCCGGTTTATCGCTTCGCTACTGAAATATTGTGGATGAGATGCAATAAGATTTAAATAGTGTTCGATTCAGAAAAATACTATTGATAGAGTTCATGAAGACACAAATTGCATTTAACTCTTGCTCAAAAGTTGTGAGAGTCGTTCGAGAATCCTGACTTTCTTTTCAGTATTCACGTGTCATGTGGGCATTCATATTCATTGAAATAGGAGAATTGCGAAATAGATAAGAAACACTATCATTGCCAGCCAAATAATAAATTTAAAATAACTTTCAAATAGTATTTCAAATAAATAATGAATAATGAATTAAAATAATGAATTTGAAATAACTTTCAAATAGCATTTCATTATGGTCAACTATTAAAAATAAGTGTTTCGATAATTTTCTAGTGGCACTGGAATTCCATTGACCAATTTGGAAATGTTGATGTTAAATTCTCAGATTTGGTGATAAAATTCTGTTTTTTTCAGTAATCCAGTGAGCACAGCGCGGGTATCACTGTCAGAGCTGAGAGTACCCCTAATGTGGAGGGATTCTGATCATTTTAAAAATCGCGGTGACTACAGACGCTTTGCTGTATTCTGCCTGGCGCGAATTGGCACTGAAATACATGACACGGCGTTACTCTGCCCCGTTGATCGGGCGCTAACTGATATCACGTTTCCAGATGTTCTGCTCTTGTAAGTTTATTATTTCCCCACACTTAGTACTTGAAATCTATTTTGAAGTGATGATATTGCGGGTCTCGAAGGAACCGACAGCTTTAACAAAATTTTGGAATGGATTTCCTCTACAATTGAATGGGTACAATGGCATACATTTGAAAAAAACCTTCTCAATTCCACTCAGGAAGTCCCCTACGAATAAAACAAGTGGTAAATTACTTTCGTCACAGCATAGTCAATATATTTTTGCTAATAAATTAGCAATTTCCTCCTGGATAGAATTTGTGTGGCGCTGTATCTTGAATTGACATCAATGATTCATTGCCAACATTGCCCCAACGTTAAAATTTTGCTTCCGAATGGAAGCATTGTATTCGCCAAATCCGAAATTTCCAATTTTTCGTGTCAAGATTACTAATTTTGACCTCAGAAGCTCGAATATATAGATAGGGAAGAGTAAAAAACTTCAACGTTGGGGCACTGAAGTTTTGGGGTATTGAATTTAAAATACATCTTCACAGGAATTCCATTCGAAAGCAAATTGCGAATTAATTAGAAGAAATATATTGACTATTTTGTGACGAAAGCAATTTTCCACTTGTTTTACCTGTCATTGGGAAGAATATTTTAAATCACAATCGGATTGATTTAACGAATGCTCCCATTCGGGAGCAAAAAGCATTGAAATGAAAAGTTTATTATGTTCTATTTCAATTTTCAGCAACAACGTCCTAGCGGATTTCGAATTGACCCTAGAAATTTACAGTCACATCCTCCAAGAAGACCTCAGTATTGCCAGCACCCCCCGCAGGATCAAACGTACAATCCACTCATCGATATCAAAGACAGTTGGGAAGAAGCTGGCGGCTTCCCTCAGGGACGAGTTGAACTCGGGAAAAATTGGTCCCCATTTCGAGTTAATGGCCTCTGCTAAGTTGACCCTCGATGACACTGATGAGAATATCCACACTCATGACTTAGCTATCAATAATCTGGAGAACAAGCATCACGCTTTGCCACTGTTTGGCCACTTCTGCTGTCGCCTAGCTGCCCAGCCAGACTGCATGACGAAAGAGGTTGCAACAGGAAATGTTAATATCAATGGAAGGGACTGCTGGGCTCGTCTCCAAAATTTCACTATTCAGAGCTGGGAGTCCAGGAAATCGGCTGAGGGGGAGCAGAATCCAATTTCTACGATATTAATCAACAGAGTGAGTACTAAAAAAATTCCATGCACAATATGAAGATTAACGTCAGTGTGAAATTTTTTAAATAAATAATGAATTTGAAAATTTGAGTTTATCATTCGTTAATACGCTCAACGACTCAACTGGCGCCGATTCATACTACTTTAAAGACCAACAACTTCAAAAAACAATTGTTCTCCCGAAATTACAGATGGAAGTGACTTTGAGAACTCTTATGAGTCTTCGAATACTCAAAAAACTACTTCTTGAACCTCTCGCTAGCAATTTCTAACTCTAAATTGCTTTGCAGGAGACTTCAATCCATCCCACGAAATCCCAGAAGGAGTTGAAAGTAATCAACACCTCAGAAGGCACCGAGAAGTCCTCAATCCTGAAGTTTGACTCGCCAGAGGAGGCCCAGAAGTGGTTGAGGCACTTGACACTTCACGCAAAGGACCACGAGAGATGGAAGCACGCAGCAGAGACTATCCAAGAGGTTCCCTGCATCGAGAGTGCAAGAAATTCCTTCATAAGTAGTAAAAGACAAGGATCTCTGTACGATGAGACACCCCTCATTGAGTCTGTGCAATCGGACTACACATCCCACACAAGGCCAACAGTTCAGGAGATCTTTGGCCTGACTCCCAGCACGAGTTTGAGCAGCTGCAGCTCCAACAGTCCACCCAGTCATCGTTCTCGCTCTCTCAGCACCAGTGGCACGAGAAAATTGAGCGCAGCTGCCATAAAATCTCACTGGCCATTTTCCAATAAACATCATGATTAAAAATAACAGTTTAGAGGGTAGATAAGATCGACCAGCTCTTCATGAGCCACGATAATACTCAGATTAATGAAAAATACAATTATTACGATGCGATTTGCAATTCCAAGGTTCTGAAATATCCTGAAAATTTCATTGCATTTTTCACCCCAAGACTGAATCAATCGACATAATTCAGATCTGATTGATGATTTATTCATTTGTAGATTTAATACTGTCGCCATATTCTGTTGATTGATTTATTTCAATTTAATTGGTTGAATTGAGGGTTTTCCTGCCTTTTTCCTTTATTCTTGGATTTTTTGTCCGAGGGATGGTTATTGATGGTTCACGAGTGGAGTAGAATTCGGGGGTAGCTGATGGGAATTTTTTTTCCAGGGAGTTTGAGGTCGTACTGATTGACAATCTGATTACTGATTTTGTGAAGTGGGAGGGGAGAGATGCAAGAGAGATTTAATGCGTTTTGAGAATATCTTGGGATAAGACGAGTTTGAGGATTTTTTTTTTGTAATGAATTACGTGAACTACTTTGGAAAATCTCTCTAAATGGCCTTGATGAATTATTAAGAGAACTTTGTAGAGAATTTTATTCTCCAAAAAATAACAATACTGAGATGAATATATAAATATGACAATTCGATTCCTTGATAATCACAAGAATTTTCACTTTCGTGATCCATTAATCATCTTTATGATGAGTTGCTGCAGCAGAAATTGTGAACATTTTTTGTAGGAAACTTAATTTTCTCTTAAAATCATTTGTTTCCTAAGTAATAACCCATTCAGAAAAAAATTCTTATCAATCGGTAAATCTTGATAACCAGTGTTATTGTAAGAATTTGAAGACATTTGCCCTCAACTCACTTATTAATGAGATATTCACAAAATAATCTCACTTCAACGCAGAACAATAATCTCGAACAATTTTTTGCATAAAAAATTTTCATTTTATATCGCTTGAGAGAGTTAGATTGGAATTCTGTGACTTATGATTTTTCATTTTTGTATTATAACGAGTGAGGATGTTTATTTCGTTTGAACCGTGAATAGACAGACGGTTGAGTCAATGTAGCAATAGACAGATTGATCATAGTATTTAAGAGATGAACTAGAGATTTTTATTGGTGAAGATTTAACCTTCGGAAGATGAATCAATTTGGAGAAATGTAAAAAATGTTAACCGATGAGTTATAATAAATATAATAACCTTTAGTCTTTTTGGTGTTTATATGGTCTATTATTTAAGTATTTGATTAATTTATCTGGTACATTAATCTAAAAATTTACAGGGGTGTCTAGGAGACTGGGTGACTGGCTTCGCCATTCACGAAAAATATTATTTTCTGTTTTGAGCGTTTTACTTATTCGGGTGTTGAGGCCTGTCGGGAGGCTGTCACCATCCCAGAAACTGCAACAAACACGGTGAATCCTTGGGCTAGTACTCGTGTTCGCATCATGTACTGGGACATTACTTGATCGCCTTTTTTGAATGACCAGAGACCGTAGGACAGAGCTGCTGTTGTTGCTAAGCAGCCTAGAAGATGAATAAAATAATATTATTCATTGCCCCCTGGTCGCTCCGCTCGTCAACCCCCATGATCCTTATTCTGCCCCTTGTGACCCTTAATCTGATCCTCGTGACCCTCATTATGACCCTTACTTTTGGAGTCTTCATTTCGAGCACCTAATTTTCATCACCAACAGTCCATTTGAATTTTTATAATATAGAGAGACATTGAGACCCCTGTTTTGACCTTTGTGACCCTTAGTTTCTGACCCCCATGATCCTTATTCGGGCCCATAATCTGACCCTCATTATAATACCAACTTTTTAAAAAATCCGCAACGTATTTTTTCCCCGGGGTGAACCTCTCCTTAACCATATCAAAAAATAAGAAGCACAATTTCATCGCGAAAAAAAAAAAATTTTCATCCATTTGAAATAATGGGATGAATGTCCTTCAAGAGTTATTTATGAACTATTCCACATAGTACTTTTCTCAACTGAACTAGTTGAATCCTGTTTAATATGCAATACTCTATAAATTGACAGTAGAACCTATACCAAATGGGAAATTTCTTTTCCAAAATTCTGAAATAAAATCTTTCACATGATACTTGATATGTCTAAAACACAAGATAAATAAATATATCAAATAATAATTCCAATAATTTTTCAGCGAACTCTAGCAGTAATCAACATAAACTGTCAAAAACTAGATGAAAATCATCATCAATCCTTCTCAAATGTCAAAAGCCTCTGCGTAGAATCTAATTCAATGATTCTCAATGATTTCTCACTCAAAACGATCAGAACCGAATGCTCTACAATTTCAAAACCCAATTATCTCACAATTACATTCATTTTCTCACTCATCACTCATCAGAGTGATTTCTAAGAGGTTACGCTCACCTAATGGTATAAGCGGTTGGGCTTTAAACTTCCTGATCAGTTTATGGAATAATGGCTCAAATTCATTTCCTTCCTCCATTTCGTCTCTCAACTTTATCCAGTCGAGATCCGTGGGTGGTGCAGGTAGTCGAGGTGATGCGGGTTTTTCTGCCATTGTCATCCAATTTTTGACAATTCTATTCCTATCCTAACTCTCCTAACTGGAAACCGAACTTCGCAGTAATCAGCCGAATCAAAACACAGCGCGAGTGCAGCCGCACTCTTGCATATGCACTGGCAACATGTACATGGAGCTATTCTTCCAGAAGAATATCCATGGATTTTTGGAGTGGGGACAAGCATATGAGTGGGAATCACGTAGAGTGGGGGTACCCTGAGAAGGGAAAACTTCTGCTAGAAGCCCTATACAACTAGAAATAGAGATCAGAAGCAAGGAATGTGGTGACCAGAAAATCTGCAGTTTTCATTAAGGATATTTTTAGCTGTCGGATGTCGCTAGCGGTGACTCCCAGGAATTGGCCGGGTCAGCCCCCTGTAATTCCTACGATTTTCCTATTCTGATTGTATGAAAGATCATTGTGAAAAGATGGGCTTGCTGGTTAAGGAAAATTTCTAAAATATGGCAAAAAAGTCTACTAGTTTGGAGAGTGTTTTTGTTTTGGAGGACTTGTTCAAATAGTGCGTCAATGGTTAGCGACATCTATGGTTGATAAGGCTGTGCCAGAACACGTGCCACCATGCTTTGATACGTCATCAACATGGTGATGGACATTGAAGTTGATCACGTGATCACTGGGAGCCGTCATGACAGTGTTCAGTCACGAATCTTTAGTTAGTTGAGAATAATGAGGATATAACCATAACGAACAGAAAAAGAAAATCATACTAGTTGGAGGTAGCGTTTCATTGGGGAGAATAAATCAGAGAGTGAGTTGAAATATTAATTAATAATATAAATTAATGAAAGTTTATGGCGAGCTATCTCTTTTGTGGTTTTGGGTGTTACCTATTTTTCACAACTTAACTAGAAGTAATGTGTTACTCTTGCCCTCGACACTACTGAATTGTCATATTACATATAGCCAGAGGAATAATTTCATTAAAATTGAATAATGAATAGGGGAGACTGGGCAAAATGAAATTTGGCGAAAAATAACACTGTCCAGAAACGACTGTTTAACGCAATTCAAGCAAAAAAAATTTGTTTTCATCAACTATTTTTTTTATCAACTTTTATTATTAACTTATTATTATTATTGGGAGTACTGATGAGAATATTAATTTTCCCCCCAGTAGAAATGTAGTGAACATGAACATGTAGAACATGTGTGAACATGTAGTGTGAAAAAAATTCTGGTATTCGAAACCCGTGCATAGCGTATCGACTAGTCCGTTAGATTCAGTTCGACTCTTACATTGCATTCCAGCTGAGCTTTCAATAACTCAGGTGGAGTTCCTCGTCATGGCAAACCGTTGGTAGCGACCATCTTGCTTAATAATCACTTGGACCTTAAAAATTGTGTCTTGAACAGATGTAGGATAGAGGTATTTGATAATCTGTTTGATATCATCAACCCTGTGAACAGTAGTAACAGAATCACGTTCATTCCATTTTTCCAAGGCCGAATCAACGGTCAACAAAAACGCTATAATAATTATTTTTATTTTTAAATTCATCATTGTAGGTATCTAGGGACTGAAAAAAGCGATATTCAAAACACTCAAATTTTTGCTAGACCCATCCCTGGTCTATGAGGTAGCCTCGACGGTGATTTTGGGCCCATCGGAAAGTGGCATAAATGTAGTAAACAAAAGGGGTACCAGAAGGTCTTGCGTACAATCAAGTTTTATTATTTGCTATTGAAACGTTCGAATAAGATAATTTATGATTTTAAGAATAGAATTTTCCTTGAAGAAGCATAGTTATTTGGCATTCATCGACAAGTCACTATGAAGTTGAGAGAGTAGACTAATTCAAGACCGCATTCCTCTTTGTGTAGATTTTAAAACCAACAGAAGAAGAAAAATGTCAGCTGAACATAATCCTCTGAGGTTGCTGTCCACACTGCAGCACATGGCAGCAGTCAAGACCATCGAGACGTTACTGAAGAAGGCAAAATATAAAGAGATGATGAAAAACGTGTCTTGGGGCATTCATCCGTATAGAGACGTGAACCAGGAAGACCCACTATTGATACACATGATCGGAGAACTACAGTCAACTGTGGATAGATTGCCACTTCCTGAAGTAATGAAGATCAATTTGAAGATGTGTCTGGTACCAATGATCAGAATGGCATCGAATTGGTTATCTCAGTTTGCTAACAACACACCCTCGCATCTGCGGGATCAAAATTGGGCGCAAACAATTGATGACTTACTGGATAGTCTTCATTGGGATAACATTGGATACGTTAATGGTCGGAAAACATTAGCATGTTACGTCGAAAGCAGAGAAGCTGTCGACTTCGTGATCTGGAATCAGCTGTGCATTTCCTCCATGGAAAACGACATAATCAGATTTGCCAAAACTATTGATTGGAATAGTATCAGAAAATGTTCCAAATGGACTTTTCCTATTTATTGGTACCATAAAATCTATGGAGAGTACTCGCCGAAAGAAATGTTTGAACCTGTGGGGACGTACAACTATTTTTGTATTGTGAGATACAAAGTACTCAGTGAGGAGCAACATTTAAAGCGCTTGCTGAAGCGTAGTCATCCCGACAGCCCCCACTTAGGACGGACGGCCTCTACCAACGAATATTTTCTTAATAATCTAGAAAACGATGTGGAAATTGAGAAATTCATCAGGGAATCAAGTTTCGACGGCTTATGTGGAGAAGCAACCCTTTATTCGTTGAGATCAATGAAGATGACTACTTTAGTTAATACCATTTCCAATCATTCTGTGCTCAGCGAATTGGTAAAGCCACCTTGGATTTTGTTTATCGATGACTGGATACGCTTATTCCAGAGTGTCAATGTGGATTGCTTTTTCACATTTTTTCAACTTGTCGGAGTTGACAATAATTTTATCAAGGAGTATGACACCAAAACATTATACGAACCTTTTGAAAAAGTTTGGAGAATTTTTTATAGGAGGTTCGGCTGTAATAGTAATGAAGAGATGGGTCAGGCTTTCTTCAATATCTTCCACAGAACAGATCTGACTCTATGTAAAGCTATGTTCAGGGAACTCGAGGATCCCCAGAGAAAGCGTCTCGTCACGAACATGAAGGATTATGTTCAACGACGACAATGCGCTTATGAGTTTCTTAATAAGGAGAATTGGGGGAAAAAGGAGTTTTTCAGCCAATTTTATTATGACGTTTTGAAGGATGATGAGGAGAGAAGATTGTTTTCCGAGATTTTCAAGAAATAGATGTTATTTAGGTGTATGAATGTACAAACTTCTCAGGGGCTTAAATCAAAAGTCTGATTATCGAAAATGTATTTTTGATTCATCAATAATAAATAAATTTAGTAAAAGTGTGGAATTGTGAATGACGCATCTGATGTAATGAACTCGAAAATTGTATGTGGATATTTCATAATATCTCCACTTTTTGTGATCCTAAGAATCATTGTATGATGTTTTTGAAGAAATATTTGTGTGTGTGTTTGCGTATATTCGTATGTGAACAAAAATTTTTCGCCCCGGCCGGCGCAACGTACTCTGAGAAAAAGGCGGATCGTCACGTCAAAAATCGCTTTTTATTGTGAGGTCCGTTTGTTGCAGTGACAACAGAGTTTGTTACCACTACATTTATTTTGTTGTATCATAATTTTTTAAGTATATATAACGATTTTTATAGTACATATAACGATATGAAGCATTTAAGGATGGTCCTAATAGTAAGAATGACAGTTTCGGTGGAGTAGAAGGAATTGCAGCTCTGCATAGTGTAAATAAATTCGTTCATATGTTTGTTCTATAATTTTATTTTATTTACAGTAAATTGTTTGTACTGTAATTTATTATATATCAATATCGCTGCTTGCAATTCGCAATGTGATTACATGTCTGTTTATATCTTCATGGAATCTGAATAATTGGCAAGATATAATTGAGTGATATAAAAACGTCAGTAATGGTTATTTAAATTTGTCTTATTTTAATTTTAATTTTTCTTCAATTTCCCATGAGTGTCTGTTCCCAGCAGAGGAGAGTTAATACCGATACGCTGCAGCTAGAATTTTTAAACAAATTTTAAAATACTGAGGAAGTTAAAAAATTACCCTGTGGGGTACGAATTAACGATAAAATTAGAAAAAAAAATTGTTTTCCGTAATTTTTTGCTGTTGGGTTGGGGGGGAAGGGAGAGAAGGAGGGAGGGAACGCGCCTTGCGCACGCGCATTCTCTCCGTTTCCACATGCTGCCTATGTAGACTCGATAGCGTGGCGCACGTGGGGCTGGAAGAAACGAGTGAGATAAACATCTGTCGGAAACAAATCACCACAAAACCAGTGGATGAACCATAAAACCATGCAATGACCTCAAACGGGCAGTAATCAACTTGCAAGAAACGGAAGTTAAGAGTGATTTAACCCAAAAATAAAATGTAAAAATAGTTTGATAAACGTGAACTAAGACGAAAAAGAGTGAACTAACCTAGAAAAACGTCAATCCCACCAGTAAAAATCTACTATTCACTCCAAATAATTTAAAATATCCCTCAAAAACGTGAATCCCCATCACAAAAGTGAAAACTCGTCTTGTCCTTAAAAAATCATAAAAATGAAAGAAACAAGAGAAGTTTTACTGACCTCAGACACCTCCGGGGAGTCCTGGAGTGCTGCCATGTGGGATCCTTTGACAGGATCCATGCTATCTCAGTTCAGAAACGCCTCGCCCCTGGCCTCAAACAGCCTGCAGCTCCTGAAAGACAGTTACCTCCTCGCAGCAGATGCCACGAAGCCTCGAATCCACATCTGGCCAGTGAACTCTCAAGTTCCCCTCCCCAATCTTCGGTTGACAACTCCGGGTAAGGTGTCCGCAATGTCCTGCACGTCCTGTGGGACGTACATAGCAGCTTCAGTCGATGAGAAGGTCTTCATCTGGCAGACGTCAACGGGAAGGCTTCTGAGGACACTTGCACGTCATTACCAGACAGTGACGTGTCTCAAATTCTCAGTGGATGGCTCACACCTGGCCACTGGGGGACAGGACGGCCTCGTCTTCGTTTATTCAGTGGCAGGGGTCATCAATAATTATAAGGAGGCTCATCCTCTTCATGGATTCTCTGATCACACTCTCGCTGTTAAGGGAATTTATTTTGGGGCCTTTGGAGCTAGGTGCAGAGTTGTCAGCGTGTCTTTGGATCGAACTGCGAGGATTTATGACGCCAATTCTGGGGTGGGTAACAGAGATGAAAATGACATGATATCACGCATGAAAACATTTAATGAAACCCTGACGAATTCGCTAGAAAATTCTGTTGAGTTCTATTGAAAAATTCTAATTGTTTTTTGCGCTGATTTTATTGCATATTTGATAGGAAAAGGTCAATGTTGTTGCGTATTTGCTCTCTTACTACCTCTCAACCATCGATCGCCTCTTTTTAACTCGTTATTCTTTTATCTCATTTTCATAATTTTTGATTACAACAGGTGCAACTGCTAACTCTGGTCCTCGATGTCCCCCTGACGTCAGTCTGTCTAGACAAAAGGGAATGCAACATGTTCGTGGGCTGCACCAATGGACACATCAGACAATTCGATTTGAGGAGCCCCCCAAGAGGACGAGAACATCATGTGCCGGGGGATAAAGAGGGAAAAGGAATCTTCTTCAAGGGGCACACGAGTGGAGTCAACAATCTGTCAGTCTCCATCGATTGTGTCACACTTGTGTCCGGTGCTGCTGATGGAAACGTCAACATCTGGAACATTCCCAGTCGTCAGATCATCAGGAGCATTCAGCATAAAGGGGGGATCACCAATGTCCTACTGGTTCCTCATTATGCCAATTTTGATGTCAACATTCTCAAGCCAAAACTGTTCGTCAAACCTCTGCAGAGGATTGGAAATGAGGGGGTTAATGATGTTCTTGAGATTGTAAAATGTGGGGATGATGATTTACTCAATCCTGAGGAGTTCTTCGAGGAGAGTGGAGAGGGCGATGGGAATGGCGAATTGGAGAGGAAACTCAGTGAGAGTAGAGCGGAAGTTGAGAGATTGAGAAAGATTAATTCGGAGATGTATAAGTATGGAGTCAGGTGCCTTATGCATAAGAAGTAGGAGAAAATTGTTGAATTGGAGAGGTGGAAATAAAGGTGGGATGAAGGATGTTTGGAAATTGGAGTAGCGTGATTTTATTTCTGGAACCTGGAGAGTTTAGTTGTTGTTATGTCGAAGTATGGAGTGATTTATTTTGTATTCGGGAAATTGTGTGGGAATGAGGGAAAATTATTGTGGAATTTCATGTTCTAGTTGGAATTCAAGAGAAATAATCATTCTAATAATTATTTTAATTAATCCACGAATTTTAATTACTCCATGAATTTTTTTTAGACAATTTTGTGCTTATACTCCGGGTAGAATTCGATATTGAGAAACTTTACATAATAGTATATGAATTTCCCCAACGCTCCAATAGAAAAATACTCTAAATTCATTCACATCCAGTGGGGCCAGAAAATCGATGGAGTTGAAAGCCTCATCCCGGGGAATAAGTAATTTATATGTAATCCAATGTCCATTCCGTTCATGTATGTCCCTCGTAATTCCAATTCATTAGAATGTAAAAGACGTTGGCAGTGATCTTTATGCTCGCATTTATTCCTCAAACACCCAGCGGGTGCAACCGTCACCCGATTAATTGGATAATCTTTGTCAAACAATTCGTTTGAGTTTTGAGCAGTGAATAAATTATTCAACGAAAATTATTATCAACATCGTCGTAATTGTGATTATTATTGACAAAAAACCCCGCCCTCTATATCATACCTCCCCTTCCCCTGTATAATCCCACACATTTGAAAATATTTCTTCTAAAAGTAAGTATATTTTGGTTTAAAATTAATCCCAATTTTGATAATTAATTTTTAATGATTTTTTTCTAAAACTTAGAAAAAATTATTTAGATTTCAGAAAATATTTCTTCTAAAATCAAGTATATTTTGGTTTAAAATTAATCCCAATTTTGATCATTAATTTTTAATGATTTTTTTCTAAAACTTAGAAAAAATTATTTAGATTTCAGAAAATATTTCTTCTAAAATCAAGTATATTTTGGTTTAAAATTAATCCCAATTTTGATCATTAATTTTTAATGATTTTTTTCTAAAACTTAGAAAAAATTATTTAGATTTCAGAAAATATTTCTTCTAAAATCAAGTATATTTTGGTTTAAAATTAATCCCAATTTTGATCATTAATTTTTAATGATTTTTTTCTAAAACTTAGAAAAAATTATTTAGATTTCAGAAAATATTTCTTCTAAAATCAAGTATATTTTGGTTTAAAATTAATCCCAATTTTGATCATTAATTTTTAATGATTTTTTTCTAAAACATGGACAAAACTTTCTAAATTTTAGAAAAGTGAAGGGTAGAAACCACAGTTTCTAAAATTTAGAAACTCTTTTCTGAAGCGAATCCACTTTTTTTTGTCTGTGAATAGCTTTTCCTCGTCCTTCTAATTTCAACCCTTCAATTTTCAAAATATTACGTCTTCAAGAAACCTACTTACCCGCCTCTTCATTATTCCTAGCGTCAGTCGCGTGCAGAATCCATTGAACCATGATTTATACTAAAAAAAACAATCGGAGAGATCAATATTGTAATAAAAAAAAACCGCAATGGGAATCTCCTCCAGTTCTCCCGCACCATCATTATTGCTGCAATCACGACCTGTATTTCTCCACGATCCAAAGCAGCTTTTCTCGAACAATCCGCAACCTCAACTCTAATGACCATTGAAACACTTCAAAACAAGCCAGAGCACTTCTCAATGAACAATAGTGCTATTCTCCAGTGGATCAATTTTCTTTCTTCTCTTTCCAAATTAATTGGGTGATAAAGGGCTCGAAAATAGCATTCGAACTCCTGAAGCTATAATTATAGTTACTTGACCCAAAAAATTAAAAACTTCGGATTTGTGAAACGCAATGCTTCCACCGGGAAGCAAACACTTACTAACGATACCCTATTCCCCAGTGAATGAATTTTCGCGTTTGCTCCTCCCGGATTAATTGAACAACAAACTGCCGATGCAATATACATAATTCTTGGCAAATGGGGGCGATGAAGGCCCCCGCTACGAGGCATCAAGCGCCAGGTGGGTGGCGATGTAGATGGAAATGAAGGGGTAAGAAGAAGAATATATCGGGAATCGAAAGGGGGACGGGAAAATGTAACGAGGAGTGAGGATGCGCAACTCAGCCGTTGTGCCCTGCAGAAGGTATAAAATCCTTCGGCGGGAATAATCCGGCATCCAGTACCGCGATCGCTAGGACACAGTGTACATCCCATCTTCACCTCGCCCGCAACAAGTAGAGTCATAAATTTTGACCCGAAAATAATAAAAACATCTCTTCTGTTCTGCCACCGGGCGTTCGATCACTCATCCGGGTTTATTTTTCCTTCACAATTCATTCTTTGAGCTGAGTCACTGGGATTCGAGAAGATCAATAGATTAATTGTAGTTATCTGAAAAATCACTCCTGAAATGAAAGATCATCCTCGCTTCACTGTGCTAATTTTTCTCGTCTTTGCTACATCATTCAACCGTAAGTTTTCTTTCAATTTTATTATTCTTTGAGGGAAGATTATTTATTACTTGGGTTTGGGCGGGGGTTGAGAGATTATTTGCGATGAGCTGGACTGTTAGAAAGGCATTGAAATTTCATGAACAGTTCAGTAATTATTTTTACTTTAGGACATCTATTTATCAGAAATTTCACTGATTATTTTCCCAGTTCAGAACTCTCTAACTTGCATTTTGAATTAAATTATATATATTCAGTACCAAATAGCGCATAATTTTAAATCAATTAAAAATTCAAGAATATGTTCACCGAATTTTCGTGATTCCTATGAATGTTCGTGGCTAAGTTGAACAGAAATTTACAGTCTTTACTGATTTTTTCATTAGATTGTGAGTTTTCAATGACGAAATTCCTTGAATGTTCAATAGAACTATCACTTCATAGAAATTTCCTAGAGCTGTTCCGGAAGGTTCTGCCAAAACTTTCAACAGTGCAGTGCATCCGAATTTTATTCATTTTCATGTCTTTCTAACTCATGTAGATTTTTTTTTAATCAATTACCGATTGCAATAGTTGAAGCGAAGACAGTCAAAAGTAAACTACGACTGTATCGACTGAATCCTGCTTTAATCCGCCAATTGTCTGGTAATTAGTTTTTCTATTGAATTTGGTTCTAGTTATATCAAACATTTTGCTATTTTCCTTAGATTCCGAAGTATTCATTGAACACCTGTCAATAGTAAAAATTGACTTGTACGGTTTTACCACTTCGCTACTGAATTGTAGACAGGTGAATTGAATTTAAACAGAACGAAAAATTGGGCATTTTTAGGTGGCGAAAGGATCAATGATCTGATCGCGAAATTCAACGAACGAAGAGCCGCTGGGATTCTCGCGCAACCGCGGATCGGACGGAGCGCGGGAATGAGGATTTTCGGGCGACCGGATGGATTTGCCGGGCTCATGCAATATCCTCGTGTCGGTCGAGCCGGGCCGCCAGCACTGGCCGACGATATGAAATATCCGGAGTTCGATGGAGATGTCAAGAATCACCGGGAGGGATTGGACAGTCCGGTGGATGTTGATGACCAGAGTAAGAACATTTGGTTGATCTGTTGATTCGAATTAGGGGTGAAGTAGTGTACCGGTCAGCGGGTGATACCGCGTGCCCACTCATTTCCACAGTCACAAGCATTTTTTAGAATTTTTCTCTTTCAATATCGCGGATTCAATGTCGAAAGTAACCGGTAAAACTATAGGATAGATATTTCAATTTAATAAATTGCCAAAGTACTTAGATATCCTTGAATTTTTTTTATTATTAACCCTCGATCACTCGCTATTTTAGCGTGTTTCTCGACGCTTAAAAATTCGTAAAAAATTGAAGTTCCTAGTTCAATCCTTTTAAGTGTTCACAGTAAAGCGAATGTCTGAATTTCGCACACCTATTGTAGACGTTTTTTAGTGTCTGAAAAATGTCCACAAAGGGGTCCGAAATTCAAACATTCGTTTTTGCGATGTTGGCGTTGTCCATTTTTTTATCGGGAAATTTAATTAGCTAAAAAAAGAAAAGAAGCGTCGAACGGACGAAGACGCGGTGCTACGCCGCCCGCCGCGGGTGCGTTTCTGTCGACGCTTCGAGCGCCAGTGTTGCTACATTCACTGCCCCAGTTGAAATGCGCGCATAGCGGTAAGCGTCAAGGTGGCAACAACGCGCTCGGTTTAACCCAGCGGCGCTGCGCTAACCGTGCGACGGATGAAGGCCTGCGGCCGAACGCGAGTGATCGAGGGCTAAGCATCTTTAAACCTTTACAGTTTAATTTGCATATCCTTGAATTCTTTTTTGAAAAACCACGAGTTCGCTGTTGTACTTTTGATATCATAGGTCATTATACTAATCCATCACTGAAAGAATAATTGAGATTGACTCGTGCGCATTTAATTATCGAACTACTGACTTTTTGGTTTAGAGAATTTCGACGATGACTTGCTCAGACGACTGGGCAATGGAATCTGGCTCGATAACCCGAGGTATGGACCTAGGAAAAACCAACAGCGATCTCAGTGTGAGAATGAGATGGACAGTGCTGGGATATTCATTGTCACACCAGAAGGTTTGTTACTCGAATCCCGGAAAAAATAGGCGAAGCGAAATTTTTAAGTTGGATGGGTTTTAACATGTTTTAGATACGTGGGCTATTTTTTCATCCTAGAGTCCAGCAGTTTTCAATGAGTGGAAAATTGCAATTTTGACGATTTTCGTAAATATATCTCACTTATTCAATTGAGATATTTTCTATTGAACATTTCAATAGAATCGGCTAAAAATGAATAGAAAGTTGAATAGAAATCCAATAGAAATTCCTAATGAATTTGATAGGTTTTCCTACTAAATTTTTTCATCCGTGACTGAACGAAAATAAAAAAAAATGAAAAAATGAATAAATAAATAATAAATAAATAATAATAATCATAATAATAAATAATAATAAATTCCAGATTACCAAAAGATGGAACGTCAATTGCTGCACTACTACCCTCGATCGTCGGAGGACCATTCTCGCTAAGACAAGATATGGAAAATCATAATATAAAGAAAAAGACACAAGAGATCATCATGGGAAGCAATCCCAGAGAATAAATACCCCGAATATACAAATTGAATAAATAAAAATCAACAACATAAGAAAAAAATGCATAAGAAAATTGAAATGCAGGAATAAATCAAATTTTAAAAAATGTAAAAAAAAAGTATGAATATAAAATATAGAAGCTTATATCTTCCTACATCCTCTGAGCTCCAAAAACCTTGATTCTCAGTCGCCAAGAAAAAAAAACAACCAAAAATGAACAAATTGTAAGATAAAATTTCAATCATTTTATTAATTGACAAAGCGTTCATAATAAATACCGATTTTACTGATGTTTCACTTAATTACGCACTTAATATTCTGGCACGTAAGATTGTTCATTTACTACGCAAATTACCATTAATTCATTTTGAAATTTTTTTTTCATCTCATTTATCCTTTTATACGTTATGGTATATTATAACAAATATTTACATAGGTAGTGTTAACAAACTAATGATACACCTCGTGTGTTTTCTGTGTGTATGTGCTCTCATAACGGACAGGGAAGAGGATAAGGGTGAGATGAAGGAGATGGAACAAGATACATTGGAAAAAACCAGTAATTAAATTGTTAATTGCTCCGATGATTTATCTAAAATTACCTCACAAATTTATCTCTCCTCGTAACCTTAATACTATACTTTAAATTGTATTATTAATGTTTTCTCATTTTTTTTGCAATACGTGAGAGTACGAAGAAAGGTATTTTTTAATCCATGAAATATTTACAATATGATGAAATTTATCAGTAGATTGATCTAATTAAAGGGACTACTTCGCACTGAAATATTTGTTGTTGTAAATTGATGGGTGACGGGGTTTTCAGGTATTCCGTTGATTTTTGGTAAAATTCCGCTCCTTCTCTGCGCGATTCTCACCAGTGACAGTTCAGAGAAAACATTCTGAATGAAAGAATTAATAGATTCGGATTTTTCTATGCGAATGATTCTGTTGAAATTCTTTCAACAGAAACCCTGGGAATTTATCAGTTTGAAATAATTTTTTTAAGGGGAGGAAAGATTGAATATAAAATACAAATGCAAATATAAAAGATTAAGTAATTCACCCATTCACCCCTCAATAACAACAAACTTCTCCTTGCGACTGAGGAAGACATACATCCACATAACCCACCAGATTCACAATAATCACGCATTGAAGAATCCTGTAATCACATTCTACACAGAACTTTCCTACAAGACTTCCTCGCCATGTCAAATTTTATGTTCTATAGAGAACTCTGAAAGTTCGTCTCATGAGAAATGCGGGAATGCCTTTCTCTTCCTCTTCCAATGGCCGTGAGCATTCTTCGGTTTGGATTGTCTAATGAAAACGAAAAATTGATGGAGAAAAGAAAAGACCTGTTTTCAGAGGAATACTTTAATTTCTGTAGTGACAGTCTTATGTGAATGGAAAAAATCGCAATTCGAAAACTACGAAGATGGAAATAATTTCATTCGAACATGCGAGAGTTTCAAGCACGATTAATCGTGTTGCTTTGCCTTCAACAGCCGAATATTTGACGCGCGGATCTTCCCCGCGCGATGGTGCCTTTTCACGATGAAAATATTCTCGCATTAAGGGGAGACGGAACCCCTTTGTCTACATCAAATCTTAGAATTGTGTTTTCTCCTACAATTATTAATTTCTATCTACGAAATTACTTTATCGACTCGATTATCGCATTGTTGAGTCAATGAAGTAGTTTAATGAATAAAAAATAATAATTGCAGGAGAAAACACAACTCTAAAGATTTATATGAACGCAGGGGCTCCGTTTCCCCTTAAGTGGAGTTGTCCTTTCCAAAAAAAATATGGGCAATATCTCGAATCGGAAATGAGAATCGAGGGACTGCTCACTCCATAATTGAGTGACACCATTACGTCGAAATGAAGTCGATTTCGGTGATTTCGAGCATCACGGGAGGTGATTTCATTATTTTAAAATTAGTGATTCCAGAAAATTAAAAGTTAATAAATAATAGAGGTGGGCCAAAACGGGTTGTGTCAAATTATGAAAATCACAACAAATGACGACAACCGATTTTTTTTCTGTGAATCAACGTTCTTTATTTTTACCTTTGAAAGCGCCCGAGTGCCTCAGTTTTTATCCGATTGACAATTTTTTTAAATGTTCGTTACACTCCAAAGAACAAAGATATGCATCCGTTTTACGATCCATTGGATAGATCATGGGAAAACTGAAGAATTTTTTTTTCTTTTATGGTTTTCGCATTGATTTATCAATTTTTCATTTCTTCCAATTTTTCAATGATCGATTTAACGGCTCATAAAATGGCTACCATTTTCTTTGGAAACAATCAAACATTTTGAAAAAAAAAATAGTCAATCGGATGAAACCTGAGGTACTTGAACGATTTTAAAGGTAAAAAAAAAAATTTCGTTAATTCACGGGGCAACATTCTCCCTTTTCAACATATGCCATCGCCCATAAAAATGAGGACTTCAAAATTTCCCCGTCTCCCCTTCAACCCCGAAAAAAAATTCCAAAACGCGAATCCAGGATTCTCCAATTCATGTGATATTCACACCCACATAGAGTCTCAATTCAAATACTTATAACCCCATACAGTACCAAACACACAAGGACCCCCACAACCACTCCCGCTCCTTACAACGAGACAAATTCAATCGGCGGTTTAATAAAACACGGTGGCGGTGGCGGTGGCGAGAGCCTCAAATCATCGGTCAACGAGAACGTCGAGCTACCAGTAGCAGTGACACGTGGCCCCATATTATCGTACTGCGAGCCACCATCCGCCCTGAGAGTCCTCCTCGGTAAAGTAGCGAAACTGGATATAATTGATCCAGTTGGCAATGCACTCGAAACATGGCACTTATCAACGATCGCCGGTGCATGAACCGGAATATCGAGCAAATCAGGATAGCACCTCTCCGCATCCTGTGGCATTGACACAGATATGAATATATTCCCGAATATTCCGGAAGGAAGGACACCGCCACCGGTGAATTCTGGCGGTGGCGGCAGGAAGCCAGCTGGACAATTAACAGTTCTGACCGTCTGAATGCTGCAGTCAGGCCTCAGTCTCTCGACTGTGACAGTGGCAGCGTCGCATATGGAAGCTCTCTCCGCTAGTTCAAGGTCACCGGGGCTGCAGGAAGTGTCAGCAAGGCTGCCCTGACCACTGCCCCTGTCATTAGCGTTTGGCGTCGTCGTTGTGACGGACAGATCCAAGAGCTTCTTCTCTTGGTCGCCGAAGCTGGTGCTTCCCTGCAGCTTGACTTTTTCCCTTCTGCTTCGTCTCCTCGAGTTGCCGCACAAGCAGACGGTCAAAAGAACTGCCAGAATGAAGGCGCAAAGGGCGACAGCCCCACCACCAGCTAAACTGACCCACAACAGCCAATTGTCCGTTTGGGATAGTGTTGGGGCAGTGAGCACTCTTGGCACCACAATGTTCACGGTTTCGTGGTCAGCGCCGGCTAGGTTTTTCGCGTGACAGGAATACTCGCCAGCGTCAGAGTCACTTGTGTTGTAAATCGTGATGTTGCTCCATTTCCTAGGGACATCGCTCTCGGACGATCTGTAGAAGTTGGAGTTGGATGTGACGATGATGCTGCTGGTTGGGTTGTCGGGACGAGTGAGGTTGATGGGTGAACCGTTGAACAGCCACCAGAGCTCGGGTTCAGGATCGCCGGAGACTGAGCAGGAGAGGCTCAAGTTTCCGTTCACCTCCTCCTGCACTTTGCTGGCGAAGAGCTGGACTTCTGGCGAGCAAGCGAATTCCGAAGGTTTTGTGTCTTCCCAGCGGCGTTTCTGGAGGCGGGAGGGACCGGTGCAGATCTGGGAGACTGAGTAGAGCTTGCGCGGGGTCTCCGGGATCAGCCAGCTGCGGAAGGACTTCAGTCGGCAGTCGCAGGACCACTTGTTGTTGTCGAGGGTCAAGGTCTTTAGACTTGGGAGGACTGACAACGTCCTTGACTCGAGGTGCGACAGCTGATTGTTGTCCAATTTCAGGGATTCGAGACCTGTTAAGCCGGTAAAGGCTAATCCGTGGATCTCTACTAATCCACAATGCTGTAACTCGAGATTTCTCAAGTGTCCGAGCTCCGGAAATTGTCGGGATTTCAATCTTTTTAGGGGATTTCCGGATAGTGTCAGGATTCGGAGTCTCTCGTTACCGAGAAAGGTGTTCGGTTCGAGGCTTGTCACGTGGTTGTCGGAGAGATCAACTTCCACGAGAATTCTCATGTCTCTAAAGGCGTCCGGATGAATTTCGTGGATGCCCGCGTTACGGAGGAAAACCTTTTGGAGATTGACGAGGCCAGCGCGCTTGAAGATCTCGGCTTGCAATGCGGGTATCTGGTTACCGGAGAGGTCGAGCACCTGCATCTCCGGATCGAGGGAGGCAGGGAGGGAGGTGAGACCCGCATCTGGGCAGAATGCCGATTTCTTCCCCGAGGTCCAACGGCAACGGCATACTGCCGGGCAGTCTGTCCAGTCTGGAAAGGCTGCTGAGTGCGTCAGGAGAATTTGGGCGGAGATTATCAGCAGGAGGGCGAGCAGACGATGCCCTCGGAGAGGATGAACTACTGACTCTAACATAACACCGAACCTGCGGGCAAAATTGATGATGAGTTTTTGCGGTGATGAGCGTGAGAAGTTTTGGCAGATTAAGTTTGGAGAGCTGGGAGTTTGGGAGTGGTGGCAGAAGAGCTTCTTTGTTAGTTAGATTATTGTTAGATTATCGTCTGTGGGGGTGGTCGCTTCATGGCTTTCGCGGAAGTAGCTTGTTGGTGAGGCCATCAATCAATCGACAAAGGATGGGGTCGGTGGAACACATTGTTGGTGATACTTGAAGTATTTTGGGAGTGGGGGATAATGCGAGGAAATTACAGGGGACTACGCTGGCGGGAGGGCTCCTTGGGTACTATTGAAAAGACAAACAAGTAATCGAAAATAGTGGTGTTGTTGCCGTTGAACTATTCCCATTGAGGTCGGTATGACTTCAGAGCGGAAATTGTGGGTCAACGGCAATAATGTCAGTATTTGAGATTATCGTTTCCTGTTTTCAATAGGATTGAAGGAGACTTTTCTACCAGGGGCTTCAGGAAATTATGCTATTTGCGAAGAAACGACGATTGAAGAAATTGAGATTTATGGAACGTTCTGGTTTTAGGAACGGGACTGTCCCCTCATTCTGAACAGAATCTCTCTTCTCTTCGAATTGATATTTTAATGATCTCGACTAGTCCAGATTATTAAAAGACAGAATTTTCGTTTGAATTACTGGTGTCGGAGGCACAGATTCTTCCTCGTTTATTATTCAATGGAAATGTCAACGTACTTTAATTGTGCCCAGTGCGTTTGATGAATCCCACAGTCTTCTCTCTGTCTTTCAGACCCTCATCAACGAATACTCGTGGTTTAATCCGTACTTTCATTGTACCATCCTCAATCCCATCGTCATTATCAGAGTTCATCAACGAAAAATTCAACTTTATCCACTGAAATGTCGTATTTCACATCTCTAACCATTTTATTAACTCCCTCTTTGTCTTCACGCTTGGGCCGTCAATCTGAAAGTAAAACACAGGTGATAATCACTCTATTCGGTCGGTTTTTCTCACACTGAAAAGTTTCCGTTTGTGATAACTAGAATTATATTTTCCCACAAAGCATGCAACATTCATTAAAGCCGTGAAAGTTTTTAATTGAAAAGAAAAAACATATGCGGAAACTGTATTATCAGCGAAACTTTCATTACTAAATTAGAACATACAACTAGTCCAAACTAATTTATATGAAGGGAACACATAATTCTGATAAAGACGTGTAACGAAACATCGGAGAAAATTCGAAGATAAAAATTTTTGAAAATGTTTATTTTTTATTTTCAACGAACTTTTTACATTATTTTTACAAGATTGAGTGCATGGTGAGAAACCCCAATAACTCAATTGGTTACGGGCTACGGGGTGATTGAAAAATGTTTATATTTTTGCACACCAAATCGATGAATAAGTAAATAAATAAATAAATAAATAAATAAGTAAATGAATAAATAAATAAATGAATAAATAAATAAACTAATAACACACACAGACAGCAATTTTGTTTAAAATTGTCTAAAAACATCGAAAAGACCTTGAAACATGGAGATTCGATGAAAAATCGATTTTAATTTTCGGGGCCATTACAATAACTTCCCTTCCGGGAAGTTAATAAACAAATAATGTTGATATAGTTAATTTGAGCTTGTAATTGGTCTTTGTGCTGTCAACTCTCCGCAAAATAAAAATGAAAACGAAATGAAAAAGAAAGTTTCGAATAAAATAAATGACATAGTAACAAGGTGTCCGGACTACCCCGCTAATTTGATGCGATCTTCCGATGAGAACCTCCTCCAGGGAAATGATGACTCGGATGGCAATGTACTCGTGTCACTGGTTTGATGTGTAAGAAAGGGTGGGAGTGATAAGTGGAGGATAAAAAAAGAGAATGAAGAGGGTGCATCGCACTGAGAAGAGGGTGGCGTTGTTTCAAAGAGCTAATCGCCATACAAATCTCAATGCTGAAGTGGAGTCTGCCACTGGCTGAAGTGCGACAAAGACGGGGAGGGAGGACCTCAGTGCCGGCCTCTGGCGCATCGATCACGGGGGTATTGCTGGCAGCTTGTGGCTACGAGTTTGTAGGACACGCAAAAAATATCTACCCTCCCCCGCCCACCTGATCGCCCCTTTATGCCCGGCCTCACGAACCCCACGGCCTGATCCAGGTGATAAATTAAAAGTCGATGGTCATACATCGCTTTTATGTTCGAGGGAACTCCAACAAACCGTGTGGAAACGATTATTTTCTTTCGCTCTGGTTTGTTGATTTTGATTATTTCTTCGTGGCTCCAGAGGGCTGTCGGGGATTTTCAATTTGCGGAGGGGAGGTGAGGGAATTGTCCCGGCTGATGATAATTTAGTGGCCATTATATTTTTGATCGATATGAAAATGTTGTGGGAAAACATTCGAAGGATTTTTTTTCGACTTCTTCAGCAACTCGTTCTACAGATGATAGGAAAATTTTGTTTTTTCGAAGAATTTTTCAATTCAGGTGGTCATGAAATTAGATTTATGGCCATTTGCAATTCTATTAAGCGATAGGCAGAGGAAGTAAATGAAAAATCATCTGCATTTCAACTCTCGAACGGTTTGCGTTTAAATGCAGATGATTTTTATTTACATCCTCTGTTTGTTGATTAATAGAATTGCAAATGCTGACCGCAATAGCGTAATGGTGGAGTAAAATTCGATTTTATTAGGGGAGAGTGGGGCAAAATGAAACCGTCGAAAATACGACCGTTCGACGCAATTCAACAAAAAAAAATTTTTTTCATCAATTATTTTTTTTATTAATTTTTGTTTATTAACTTTTTTTATTATTGGGAGTACTGATTAGAATAATAATTTTGCATTCAGTAGAATAGAAAATTATTGCGATGTTTTCACGGGAGAAGATTTTGTCGACGTATTAATTGACACCTCACCCACCCCTACGTGATCAGATTATTGGATCCTATTCTCATTTATCACAATTGTTCTTGGGAATGTGAACGCTTGTATGAAGAGGAAATTGACCAGACAAACAAAATTGAATTAATAGAAAAACCTAACGAATTCGCCAGACAATTCTATTTGATTTCAATTGAACTTTCTACTAGTTTTTGGCCGATTCCATTGAAATATTTTCTACAGAATTTCCTCGGCTCAAACTTTCCAAATTTTTTTGTTTGATTTTCTTGATGAGAAAAAAAATAGAAAAATCGAATTCTATTGACTTTTTCCATTAAATTTTTCCGTGCGTGCCTATCAATTTCAAATTTTCAATTCATCATAAATAATTGAATTCGATCCGCATTCGGCGCATTTGAGGGGAATATTCACGACATAAACATGCAGTTCCCGTCATCCACCATCAAAGATACTATTTGAAAAAATGAAAATAGAATAATCAAATAATTGACCCTCATTATTAAAAATGTTCACGACCTCCTTCATACTGAAAACAAACAATAGCTTCATATTGTTCAAAAAAAATTCCGTCATTTTACTCCTTCACTCCTTCGTCTTTCCCTTGACGTACAAAAAAAATCATAAAGACAATAAACCCCTCAGTTTTCGAATACGTCCAATGTATTCTGCCAAATAAAAAATGAATCCACGAAAAAAAAAATGAAGCGACATTGGCCACGAAATATCAATGTGCCCCCACTATCGATTTCACATGAAATCTGGTGCTGTGTCGTTGTGTGGGTGGGTGGTTTATACGTGTTTGCTCCATAACTAGATTCTATCACTATTGCACAATCGTCAATACAGTATTCCCAATGACTGACGTCAAAAGGATGTCAAGTGTTCTATTCTCAACTATAAAAATCAACTTGCCTCCAATGCACCAATCCCGCACAGTTGTCCAGCTCCATCCGTCCGTCAAAACCCCACGATAAATAACTCAAAAAGCCTCAATCAACAGTTTCTCCCCCGTCCGTATTCTAATCACTCCCTTACTCTCCTCTCGTCTCTTTGTCCTCGTGACGATCACTGAGAAAAAAATCCCTCCACAAACTCGTTCACTCGCCTCATCTCCCCCGTATCCACGGAATTCCCCCGGAAATGTCGATAATTGCCCCCAAAACCTCTCGACGAAATCACAGAATTCCAAAAAAAATCGATAAACTCCATTTTGTGGAGCTTCAGAATTATCATCAGACCCGAAATCACGATTTTAAGTGGAGGAATGGCCCTCCTCTGTGGGCCAAATTGATCGGAGGACGCGCGACTGACACCCTAATCCAGGCCGGGTGCAGCGCCCCATATTTGTCCACTCGAAATAACTCTTTTCTCCTCGAAATTTCTCGCCCACCTTTCGGGCTCTATTTTCAACTGATGTCAATGTGTTTGACGACTACTGAGGGATGAAATACCGAGGATAATGTTTTCAAAACTGATGTTAAACTCGGGTGAGACAAAGGAGCAACGTGACAGCGCTGGGCCTGCAGATTTGCCGCAGCGAGTAGACGAGGCAACCAAAACCACTGGCTTCACTCACTCGTTGCCTCTCTTTTTTACGCGGGGGTGGGAGACCTGGAGCAGCATGAGAATCCTTCTTCCCTCTTTGTTGGACACCCGAGGGAGGCAGGGAATCGCTGGAGAGATGCTCCACCGGTGTGGCAGCACTGGCGTGTTCCCAACCGTTCGATGAAATCCATCCCTCGGAGAGTGCGGGATATCCCCCACTTCTTTTGTGTCGTGGGAAAGGGTGGGGGGGGGGGAATTTTATCTCCTTCGTACCATGAAATTACCGTAAAATAAAGTCGGTCTTGAGTGCATGTTTTTTGGGAGGAATAAATGCTGTTCAGCGATTCAGTTTCTTTGGGGGGTTGGGGGTTGGGGGAGGAACTGGTAGGGGGTGGGGTCGGGTCAGTGATTTTTAAAAACCGGGCTTTGATGTCCGCCGATCAGAAATCAGCGAATGGAAGATATCGATTACACTGATTTATTGAAAATCAGTGGTGAAACAGTTCAAGTCAATTTTCATGATTCGACGGTTTTAATGAATATCTCGGAATGTAAGGGAGATAGCGAAATTTTTATTAGGAACTTTTTTGCAGAGCCAATTGAGAGCTACAATAAATGTGAGGAGGAAAATTTCGCTATCTCTCTTAGATTCGGAAATATTCGTCAAAAACTCAACTGGGAGATGAGTCGATTTGAACGGTTTTACCAATTCGCTACTGAAATGATGACGGCCGATGATTCCACGCCGAGAAACCGGAGCCGAGGGTTATTCATTCGGAAATCCGGTGACACAGTCGTCGCTGATTTCACGTGGTTTCAGGGAGATTTTCAGGATTTCTTGCGATCATTGATTTCATGTGATTGCAAATGATTTCAAATTTTCGATTTCATCACCCATTTGTTTTTTTTTTTCTATGTGGAAAATAACCCTGGGCATACGTAGAATAAATGGGCATACGTAGAATAATACACTACAAATGAGTCGAAAAGGTTTTTTTATCAGAAAAAAAAAGTTTTTTCGTCTTTATTTAGTTTTTTTTAAGTTTCTTTAGTTTTTTATGAATTTGAAAGGGTCTCATGACTTGCTGATTTCATGATTTCAGGATTTCAGAATTTAAATAAATAATGTCTCTGCGTGTATCAATTGGTGATAAATTCCCGCAATCAGTGATATGTCCGGTAGAGTCAAAACATTTATTTTTCTGCGCATGAGTTACAAATCATCGGAAAATCAAAATTTTCGCCTTCTCTTTTCGGTGTCATTACGATAACTTTCTCCCTTTGGATCGGGGATTTCAAAATAATGAAAAAAAAATTTAGTTCAATTTTCTGCGATGGAATGACCATAATAAAATTGGCCCCATTCCCCGAGGATTAATTCTTAAGGGAAATGAATTTGACGCAGTGCTATCTATCGAAAATTCCCGCGATCGATCGTTTGAAGGCGGTCGACCCGACTGGGGGCAATAGCCTCTTCCTCTTGAGCTACATAGCTCCCACCCCTCGGTGATAAAAAATTCAGAATAAAAAGGATCAAGTACGTATTGGTTTGAGACACGAGGGGGCTCTCTGCGTTCGTCAGAAAGATTTCTGGGGGGTTTCGATTAATGCAACAGGCAACAGGCAAATCGAGTCGAATGCTTGGTCGCGTCTGAATTCATGAATAGAGCGGGAACATCTTTTTTTCGTATTTCCATTGATTTGGAGGCACTCACCTGGTCAATTGGCTGCTCCGATTATTTAATGGCCTCCGATGTCCGGAGGAACTCAGTTATTATGATGATTTGATTTAATTGAAAAATATATTTTACGACATTGCATTATACGTCATATGACGATAGAAGTGTTATCTGACTCGTGATTATAAAAAATAATATAAAGTTACATTGATCTGGTGATACTTTTATCGCCTGACGGCATAGTGCACTATTAATTGTAATTTCTTCGATAATTACTCGGAGGAAGAGGTGGGAGAAACATTACTGAACAAGTCAACTTGGAGCGAAATCGATTTTTAGTAATTTTTCATCCCGTACCGGGGAAAAAGTGCGAGATAAATTGTGAATTTTTCTCGGTTGGCACGAGAAAATTTATTGAACGTGAATGATATCTCAATATTGTGTATAATCATTCTCCGAAAGAGGGAAAAAATTACTCGTGACGAAGATGATTTCCTTGATAAACGAAAATATTCTCTTGTCAGTTTTTAGAATCGTGAAATTTCCTGGGAACTAATTTTGTCTTCTCTTGTCCCGGAATTCACGCTTTCCCGAACTGATCACTCATGTCCAGCTGAGGAATCCTGGTTTCGATAGCATGACGAACACTTTCATTATCAATTCAAAATTTAGATATAACACAAACGACATGAATTTATGAGACGGACATCATTTCTAGTCTTCAGAACGCTTAACAATTCTCTCGGGACAAGGGAATCTCATCCTGTTGGAAAACTTTTGTCTCTCAGTCTGAGAACGCAATTATTTGTCAGGAGATTTCACGGTTTTTTAAATTAGCAAGTATACCTTCTTCTCGAAAGTAGTGTTTTCTCTCAGTGTACAAGAAAAAGAAATGCCCTACCGCTGAGGGAAATTTTACTCCACAGAAAGATAATTTTTGCATCCATAAATATTTTTTTTAACGAACAAAAGACAACTTCTTCAACATAATTCACGTTTAGGTTTTTCTGTTTGCAGAGTAGATAAAATAATCGGCTGTAACACTCCAAGACCTTCAACATTATCGGATATTCCCCGATAGTTTTGTTGCATAGCAACGGGAGCGTGAGCTTCGCAAATTTAAATCCCGAGCACGCAGTGCGAGGGATTTTTTTCGAAACTTATCCTGATCGACGATGTGTAGAAAAACTTGAGGGAAACATCCGATGAATTTTTAAGGTCGAGGGGTATTCGGAGGATCACTTTCATTATTAAACGGTAGGTGACTTTTTGGCGCCCCGAGAAAATACTAAATTTGGGTGTCTTTTAACATCATTTGGGTGTGTGGCGCCAAAAAATCCTGTCCCGTTATCAAATTGTACCGTAATTTTATCCAAACGAGTGATATTTATGAGTTATCGTGGAGAAAGAACTTGCGAAGAATAAACTTCCTCAGTTATTCTCAGTCAGTTCCATAATTTTGCATCAAAGTTGGAGCCACGTACACACAGTGAAAAAAAATAGTGTTAATGTCTCGAGTGTTGGAGTGAACTCTTTTTGGGAGTTCACTTCGTCCTCAGCCCTGAGTCAATTTCTGACGCAAAGTGGATTTTTATTTTTAACTACATTAATTTCGGAGTTGAGTACTGAATGGAATGAAAATTGACACCGCCATGGTGTCAACACATGGTAATCAGCACATTTGTGTGTGAAAAATAGAAATCCACTTAGTTTACAAAATTTGACTCAGCGCTGATGGCTCACACCATTTTCGTCGACTAATTAATCATCCACCAGGTGAGTGGGTCGATCGGAAAATGGAAAAATAGGTTCTTTGTCGATCTCCACCAATAGGGCCTTTTAATGAATAATTTCCCTGCACGCCACTCATTATCGAAATGCTCGTTTAAAATATTCATCAGTATCACACAACTTTTATCAATTAGTTCATTATTCACAAAATAAGTGGCTTCATAGGAAAATATCGAGAAACGTCCTCGCATGAAATTTTTCACTGAAATTAACTACAAATAATGTTCTCTGATCATTTCTTCTTACATTTCTCACCACCAAAATCTACTTTTAAAAAATCCAGTGTAACGATTTTTGAAGCCTCTATTCCGCTTATCAAGTCATGTAATATGATGTCTATGTATATTTTTTCATGCACTGTAATCTTTTGGTTACAGTAATTGTAAAAAAAGAGAAATCCATTTTTTACTGAAATAAAACAATACATGTATAACATAGCGTATAATTTCTTTATACGGAAATTTTTTTTAACTGTAAAAAAATTAATACAGTTATGGAAAAAAAATACATATGGAATGAAATAGGTCCTCTTCTAGTAATAGAAAAAGTACTGTAAAAAATCATCAGTTTAGAATCTTTGTTGGTGATTAAATTAATTCCGAAATAGTTATTCTATGAAAGAATGTCCTGAAAATTCTTTTGGAGATCATAAAATATTCTACAAAAAATCGTCGTTGTTGACAATTTCTTCTAACATTACATCAATACAGATAGCAAAATTGAGTAATAAAAAAATTAATCAATTGTCCAGAGCACTAGTGGGCGACCTCCAAAATTCAAAGAATATTCTTTGTAAGCTGTTAAATTTTTGCAAAATTTTCCTCTGATTACCCCAGATCATCGTGATAATTAAAAAATTACTGAAAAATTCCTTGAAAATCGCAAATTTTTTTTCAATGATTTAATTATTTATCCGAAGCCCCGAGACAAACTATTCCATCAAACAATCTCAATTGATCCAAAAATTGATGCTCAGATTAACCTGAAATTTTTCAAAAAACTTCAACCAAAGAGGGAAAGGCAGAATTCCAATATTTTTTTACATTTTTCACATTTTTATTACAAGAATATAGTATAAACTTTGCAATTGATAATCATATATGCACACGCGCGTACGTGTTATGTGTGTGGGTTATTTGTTTTCTCCATCTTAAAATTCACTTCCTCTTTTTGTTTTAAATTTTTATACATAAGTCGCAATCTCACCCATACAGGCCACGATAGTCATAGCTTTCACGAGTTTATCCTTTATAATTGTATAATATACTCTTACCATAAGTTTTCATTTTTAGTCCTTAACTATGAATAACTATAGTTTATGGTGTATGTGTTTCTGTGTTTTGCTCTTCTCATTGTTATTAAGTATAATTGTTTATTTTCATCTTCTTGTTGGTTTGTTTTTTTACTGAAAACATACTTGGCAATTCACGTCTAATGAGTTTTACAACGAAGCAGTTTTGACCTTACGGTGGCGCGATTTTTTTTTCTTTTTCTGTTACATTACTTTTTTTGTATTTTTTTTTCTTATTTTCTTTAGTTAGTATTTTTGTTCAACTTCTTATTTCACTTCTGGCGGTATTTTTCCACCACGTGTCGTCGCGCGCGTTGATATGTCAAGGTTTTTTTTTTATACAGCAATGTTCCAAATCCCATCGTGGAAAAGCGTAGTACTGCGGAGTTCGAATGGAGAAAGCAGATTTCGTGGTTCAGCCAGGCTATTCCCAACTGTTTGCTGAAAATTGTGAAATTCAATAAGTCAGTGTTTGAGGGGCACGGGAGGGGGTAAATGCACCTGTGCGTCTGGGGTGCGGTTGAGGAGCGAATTTTCTTAAGGGGTGAGCCTGAATTGTTGAATTGTCGAATTATCTAGGTAATGAGCGATCTTAGCTGAGCATTTTGTCTTGTGATGATTTTACGCTGACATCAGTCGTTACCGAGACCCTTGGAAATTAACGGAAATCTGCATCGAATGAGTATTTTCCGTTAATTATAGAATTATCTCGGAAATGAGTGCTGGGAAAAATGTTATGGGAATTTTTTTTCCGGTATTAGAAAACATCATGAAAGTGCGTTTTTCGCAGAAACTTTTACTTCCCACAGAAAAAAATATTGAAAAAAAAGGTAGAAATTTTATAAGATAATTCGATGCAAACAGAGATGATGAGATTGAAGAGAATGGTATTTTTCACGGACGAAAAAATTTTATAGACAAATTTAGCGAATTCGAGAGAATGCTCTGTGGGATTTCCATTGGAAATTCTAGTAATTTTCAACGAGGGATTTAATAATTCAATGAATTCAATCAATTTTGAGTACCAAACTAAATGGTGAGGACATATATACGATTGGACACAATCCCGCAACCATTTTTATCTTCATAATTTCGCAGTAATCTACAATTTAGTCGAGTGAAACTGAAAAATCCCCTCGGAATTTTAATTAATTAGTTTTTAAATTTCACCAACTAGTTGTTGAAATTCACCAAATAATTTTTCTGTGTAAAAAAACACCCCGAAAGGCGTCCGCAAAGGGGGTATTGGGTATGAACTAAATCGGTCCATTTACCGCACTCAAAAAATTATGAATCCCAAACGATCAGAAACTCGTGATTTCTTCATTTACCTTTATAGTAGATATCGCGGTACGAGGTCGGACAATTCTTGGGGTCCTGAAAAAATCATGAAGATGAGAAATCAAACGACATTTATACGCTAATATTCACTCCATCATCTGACAGATTTTAACGTGAATATGTCACCCGAAAAATAATCCGTTAAATACGCAATCGTCTGGGGAGAAATTTATTTCTGAACAAAATTTTCGAAGACATGCTTTGGGGCTGATGAAATTATGTGCAAAAAGAACTATCTCAATATATCGTCCTGTTCCGCATAATTGAAACCTAATGAGGATTGCTTGAGAATGACTCGAGTGGAGAAATGCGGAATTTTCTCAGGGAGTCGAACAAGAAAAAGATCGTTTCCTTCTGAAATAGTTTTTGTTCCAATACTCCATTAGATGAACAATATCATCGATCCAGCTGCAATCACTCACCTGGACATTGAAATTGATATTTGTTCGCACCGGACGATGGTGGAGTGCCTGCGTAGGTCTAGCATTATTACCAAGAGGCCCTTTCGAATGTTCAGCGTCACCTTGTACGAGTGTTCTCAATGCGATGAGCTTGAAATTGAGAAAATTAATGCATAAATATACACTCCACGGGAAAACCCAGAAAAATCGAATGCTTTTTTCTAATTCTTTTCGTTTCCACCGATTCTACCAGGAGATAGTTCCCGACTGGAGTAATTATGCGGTGAGAATTCCTGTCAAATTAGGAAATCGGTAACATTTCACCGACAAATTAAGGAAGCGACGAGTTATTCTATCTTATTAGTTTTCGATATAGAAATGAAGAATGTCTCATTCCATTGTTTGAGAAAACCGAATCATTTCAAAAATCCCTGAGATATCGATCTACGATTCGAAAAAAAATTGAGATTTACAGATACTTTAGTTGCAATATCCAGCAGAGCGACCTTTAATTCGATATAGGGGGGAGGGGGGGGGGGAAATCATGAGATTGCGAATTGAATTGAAAAGTTAATGGAATTTCCTAGTAAAAAATTGACATTTATCTTCGTAATTTCTCATGAAATCGGCGTTTTTTTAAATTTAAGGACAAAGGTCCTTTCGCTTCTCGATTCCTTCTTCACCCCCTGTGGCTGAAACATCTAAGAACCCGCTGGAAATTGACATCCTTGTGAATTCGAGGAATAATATTGTAATTTATCTAACTCTTTTTCTTGCATAAGAATGCAAAAAATTTGAAAACCCCGAATAAAAAATAAGAAAATATTCCCGACTTCAACTTCTCCTAACTTCCAGTTTATTGACCCAGTTCTCGTCAAATCTCCTGAAATCTACACCTTCCCGGCATTTCCCTCCCAAAATCAAAAGAATAAAAAGTGTCACAATGACCAAATCCCATTCACCAGCGAAGAGTGAGAAATATGGAAATAAGCAATGATTAAGTGTAAAGATATTGAGATTGCGTGTCGTCAGTTTCCCCCACACAGCACTCAACGTAATTGCCACAGAATTCCCTCCAATGTTATTCGTGACACGACTTTTTCGTGCATGAATAACACTCAGACGTTACATTATTTTTTAGATGCTTTGAATTGAGTGAGGAAGTGCTTGGGAAAAATAAATAGCTGATTAAATGTCGATACTAAGTACAGGCAATTCTCACCTGCTGCTTTGTTATGTATATTGGTTTGTTGAGAATAATCCACGTTGTTGTCTCGTGACACGCCGGCATTGTGGTGGAGCCCTCGTATGTCATGTAATGCTTCGTGTCCGGCAGTAGTTCTAGCACAGCAAAATGCTGAATTCCAGTTGACTTACCTATGCAATTTTACACGTAACGTAACATGTGACAAAAACAGATTGATTATGTCGTGTCTGACTGACGTACTTGAGAGTATAATTATCAATTTCCATGAGTGGTACACCCTATTTTCAGGTGCGAGCGTTATTCAGGGATATTTTAGATTTTACGGAAATGAAAATTCGAAGAAGCGGAATGTTTCTTGCTTCCTATGAAAACATTGTGAATATCGGGGATGGGGAAAAATTGCTACGACTCTTGGACTTCAATTTGAAAATAATTTTTAATTCTCAATTATAATTAAACAATTAACTCCAAGTGTCTGAATTCGATTTTTTAATTAATCTAATAATCATCATTCTTACGATGTTGATCACTGATTTATAAAATATTTGAAAAATTGAAAAATTTGATTAATTTAATAAATATTCGATGATAGTGGGTTACGCCGCCTGCTCGCTCCACTCGTCAACCCCCATATGATCGCTAGTCTGACCCCTATGACCTTTATTCTGACTCTTATGTTGACCTCCATATAACCCTCATGACCCTTATCTTGACCCTCATATAACTCCACATGACCCTTATCTTGACCCTTATTTTGACCCTCATGACCCTTATTTAGATCCTTAATCTGGCTTTTAATTTGACCCTCGTGACCCTTATTTTAACCCTCATTACAACCCTCCGGACCCTTTTTTTAAACCTTGTGACCTTTAGACCCCATATCCTGCCTATCTGACCCCCATATCACCCCACTTGACCCTTATCTTGACCCCCCATAACCCTTATTTTGACCCCCATGATCCTTATTTTGACCCTTATTGTTACCCTTAATCTGACTCTTGTGCAAATCCATATGCGTCCGGAAGGGGAAGCTTTGAAACATTTCAAAGGGAGAGCTTTTTGTGGGAAATTTTACGAGCCATAAAAAAATGTTCCGTGACTATTTTAAATGAAATTACTCATTTCCAAGATAATCATGACTCTTTAAGTGGGATTGCTCATTTCCGAAATGATCACGTGATTAACGAAGATCTCGTGTTTGATAAGCATTTTCGTTAATTTTTTAATGATCAGGATAAGGAGTGATGTTACGAGGACATTTCAAAAGACCTCTCTTTTAGATGATTATCTTGAAAAAATTATTATTTTATGCGCTGTTAAGGGGAGGTTCACCCCGGAAAAAAACTTTTTCGTTTAAAAAAAAAATCCCATTTTCCGCGTTATTTTTTCTCAGGAATCTGGCTTCGGAGGTCAGAATTGTCTATGTCCACTCAAAAGTGTGAATTCATTTTTTTTTCATGGGGAACAAGAGAATCTCATTCTGGTGAAAAACTTTTTTCTCTCAGTCTGAGAACGAAATTATTTATCAGGAGATTTCACGATTTTTAAAATTGACAAGAGAGTATTTTTCTGTATCAAGTAAACCTTCTTTGTCAAAAGTAGTTTTTTATCTCAGTGTAATGTAAAACGTTCATTCGAGTCTGATGACAATCCTATTGAAATGAATGAAAAAAATGAAATAAAGGGTTTTGTTTAATTCAGATGCCTCATTTCTCTGGACGTATGTAATTTGTTATAGAATTTCTCATTTATTTTGGTGATTTCAATTGCTCATCCTAAATTCAAAATCGAATATCAAATTGAATTTTCAATGCAGTAAGTTCACCTAAATTTGGACAATTGGACGAATAATCTATTGAAATTCGGTTAAATTCCAATTACTTCTTCCATTAACTTGAGTGCAATCAGCGAATTATTACCGAATTATCTACTTGCTGTAGAATGTTATATTTTAATACTTCACCTGCGTATTGAATGTGGTTGAGTTTATCAGTGAAGAGTCTCAACGCAGGATTAGAGAGATCTCCCACCTGGAGGATGAAAGAGAAAAAATGATTCCATTAAATTTAGAGATTTCATTTCCCACCCTCCTCGTCTCTCAATGTGTATCTTTCGTGTCTTATCGCGAGATTTTTAGTAACTCAGAGGTTTCTCGTTTGATCTCACGTGAAAGATTAAAATGGAGATTGGACACGTACTTGGAGGAGAAGAGACACTGCCACTATTCCCTGGGGTCGGTTGAGGGCGTCTGAGAAGTTATTGTACAGGTGGGAATTGAAGCCAAATATTTGAATCTGTGGGAATTATTATTTTGTGAATTATAATGTTAGGACCTCTTCATTCATGTCAGCTTTGGGGTGGAGGAGTGAATGACAGTAGAGTCACCAATTATTGTTTTAAAATTTTTTTTAAAATATATTCTTTTTTTAAATTTTTTATACATCTATATATGTGATAGCTAAGCTGTGCAGGAAAGATGAACGGGAAAAATATACTTGAAACATTCGAATATTGAAATTTCAAAAAAAGTTGACTCTTTGAATATAACGGAAATGTCTATTCAAATTTATTTGCAAATTCAACCGTGAGGACATCACATTAGAATTTTTTTTTTCTGAAAAATCATGTTTTTCTCACAAGTTCGGAGCTTTCCTTTCAAAGCGAGTTTGTTCTCCGCTCTCGTTCAGTAATATCCGTTCACTTTACTCCCATTTTGTAAATCTAAGTTCTGTTCATAATGAGAAATGATCAAATTTATGAATTTTTCCATGGAATTCTCCGAAGAAAATCAAATCATTAATTTAACAGGGAACAATTGCAGAAAAAACCGATGTACTCAGGTAAAAATGTTGGCAATTATGTCACCAAATTACCCCTAAAATTTCAGATTAAAAAAAAGAGTTTTCGAGTAATTGCAGATTCAAAAAAGAAATTGATTTCGCGATGACGGCGCCAAAAAGGAAACAAATTGAGTTCAATTGCGCTCATTTTTTATGCATTTTTTATCACCTGCAAATATGTAAAAACGAACATTCGATTCTTAGTAATTAAATTCAGTTATTTCACCTTTTGAAAAAGTGAAATTTTTGAAAAATCATAACTCGTTAAAAAATCGTTTTCCTCTAAATCGTGTTTCTCCAAAGATATTTCCCAAATAACGAAACTGAGAATCAATTTCGATTTACGTGTCTGCATTCCCCTGTACCTCCACTACTGACATGAAAATATCGATCGGAAAGATGACAAAAATCCGGGGTTACCTCGGCGGGGAAGTTATAACCGTCCACCGTGTGCTCACTTCCAATGTCATCCTTCATTCCGTAGTGCAAATGAATTTCGTGAAATTGATATCGATAACTCAGGGGTCCACCGGTGATGTTGACCGGATGTCGAGTGTCGTTGTAGTTTACTGCAAATACAACGCCGTGGCCTGTATTCGATAGGACACCGGAGACTCGGTGTTTATCGAGCTGAAGGGGCTGGAGATTTCGGTCGTACAAAAGTTTATTCGGCTCGAGATTCACTGGTGACTGTCTACGGCCTTTATTACAGAGCGACCACTCGGGGTTTATCAAACCCCAAAAGGCGGGACCTGAAAAAAATCATTTCATTCGTTCATAAGATTTTGTTTCGTATCACATCGAACATTCATTGGAATTCAATAAGAATTTCATCCACGATTTGAGAATATTATTTGAATGAAGTTTTTTATCATGAGTTCACGAATTTATCAGTTGAATCTATGAAACGAACAAGTTCTCAAACGAGTGTTGTTTGAGTCAACAAAATCGTTTGTTGAAAAGTACCGGAAACATAATTGTTCGGTGAGAATTGGAAGTCTCAAACATGAATAATTACTCCGCTTTCAACAGCAACCAAATACTCTGGTAGAAAAAAATGAAATTTCATGGACAGTTGACTACTAATTTTCAGCGTCATTCAACTAACATTTCGCACCGAATTATGATTTTTTAAACCTTTGTTGTTTACAGATGAATCATCGAAATTGTTTACACTTTCGGAATTTTTTTTTCGGCATGAAATCGATTTCTGATAAAATTCTGAACATGAATAAATTTTTTACGATTGCGAATTGATTATTACGGTCGACGCCAATATGATGCCTGGTGTTATTTTTCCGTCGTGAAAATTGGAATTCAAAAAGGCTTAAAAAAGGCGTTTTTTACGGTCAAAATAAAAAAATCAATTACACCCTAACAAAGCGCCTTTTACGCATCACTCAGCGTATTTTACGCTTAGGACATCGTTAACTACCATCTTAATAGAAACGTATTTTACGATTTACTTATGCGTAATTTACGAAAAAAACAGCGTATTTTACGCTTCAAGCAACTTTTGTTCTTCGTCGTTAATTACGGATAAGTAAACATAAAATACAAGCAAAATCATCGTAATTTACGAATCCGAAACCATAAATTATGTTTATGTAGCCGTAAATTACGTTTATGTAATCGTAATTTACGGCAATTTTTAGCGTAATTTACGCTCCAACTTCAAGCATAAAATACGTTTTAGAAAGCATTAAAAATGACTTCTCAAAAGCCCAATTTTAAAATAACCTAAAGTTTGAAAATTGAACTTGGGATTGAACATAATATAAAGTTTCAATTTTCTACCAACAAATTTTCCATGTAATCATCACATTCAAAAATATCTGTTCATGTGATAGAGATACAAAAATTGATGCACCGGAGGAAACGGGGGAACAGTTTCAATTTACCATCAGTTTTTCAAAAATGTCTCGGAATCCAAAGGAGATGAAGGAATTTTTATAAAAATCTCTCTGGTAGATCTCATTTCACGCTACAAAAGAGGTCTTTATGAAAATACGTCAGCTCCTTGGGGATTTCAAGATATTCATCAAAAACTCAGAGTTGACGTATCTCGTTTTACCTCAGTCCCTGAATTTTTATTGCAGCAGGAGAGTCAATATCACGAGAATTTTTTAAAAGATACGAATATGTGGAATATGTCAATGGAATAAACATTCAAAAATGGGAATTTCAAATTTAGGAATAATTGACGTTTACCAAGAAGAGAACGAAAATCTTCGCATGTACTACATAATTTTTTAATTATTTAATTGTCGCGCAATTGAGTGACTTTTGTCAAAAAGTAGTAATTTAATTTTTAGTTAAGAGGAGACGACTGTAAAATTTGGAAAACTCCAAGCCTTACAGAGCCGATTGTTGCAGATTATTATGAGTTATGGGTGAAAAAAAAGTATGAAACAATCAAACTCCGAGATTTTTTGAGGCTGGCAAAGGGTCAAAACGGACCAAACTCTACAACATGTGGGAAATTGCTTTCGCCACTATCAATTTGTTGATATGCCATAGTTGAATCTCCAACGCCTGACGACGCTCGCGCCTGCCGATTTAACCGCGGTCTCCCGATACTTCAACATTCATAAAAATATCAAAGAAAATCTCATCTCTGTCGACCCGGTCTGCCAATTTTCGTAATTGAATAACAAAAACTCAATATCCTATTCCTCCGGAGCCAGTGAAATGTCATCAACCCCTGAATTTTTAAATCCGTAATTGCTTCGGTAATAATTAAATTCCCGAAGTTACCTGAAATGCCATCGTACGTCCACCACTCCTCCCAGCTGACAGGTCTCGACTCTGGAAAAATAAATATTCAATAGCACTCATCAATGTGGAGCCTAAAAAATTGATAGAATCAGATCATTCCATAACGAAAAATCCATACCTTGAATCAAAACGAGTATAAACACTCCCCAGATGCCCAAGTACACTGAGCTATACGTTGCCATTCCTATTGAGAATCTGCTCTGTCAATTAACCATCATCTGTTGGCTTCACCTGCGAAACCAGAACAAGTAAAATGAAAATATGGCTGTACAGTATGTGGAGCAATACATAAATATGTATGTAGAGGCATGTTCCAAGCCAAAATGCCTCCACCGAATGCTTTTTGAAAGGTAAATGGGAATGAAACAGCTTTATGTCCTGTCGTTTCGTTCAGATGGCTTTCTCGATATTGCTACATCGCATTCATTCGCATTACTCTATCCCAAAAAAATGTACTGAACGAAATTCAATTTCCCTCCTCAAAATTCCTCCCATTTTTTACATTATTTTGTTCTCTTTCAACCGGAAATTAAATTTTACAAACTCCTTTGGCCATTAACAGACAAAATATACGTCATTCATCACATTTTTCTTTCTTCCCCAAATCCGATTCCCGGGGGGGAAATAAATATGATCCGCCTTGACACTCTTGAGTACCTACTGAGGAGAATTCATTCTTGTGGAGTGGATTCGGTTGTTTGGTGCTGGTGAGGAATTGATTTTAGGAGCGGGAATTTATCGGAGTTATGAGGAGGTGGGGAGAGGATGTCGAGAGACTCTTTTGGTGGATCATTTCCTCAATTGTGATTTCGATCAATCAGAGTGCGGGATTCGGGGGCACATGATACAGTGCTAGAAAGTTCTTGAAATTTCAGTCAGCGTCATGTGAATTTTCGATATTGTGAGGTTGAATCGAGGGGTCACTTAGGAAATCACTGAAGCCCTCGATTGAAAATCAAGGAAGAAATCACCGGAAATCATTGGAAATGAAGTGATTTCCATAAGTAAGTTGCAGATTTTAGAAATAATTAGAAATTATCGATTGAATATGAACCCCCATGCCCATTCTGGAAACCACTGAGCCACCCGTTTGAAAATTCAAGAAAATCGGGTGTTTCATGTTAAAAACTCATTAATTTTTCAATGACAGCTTAAATTTATAAAGTCATCGTGGAAATCGAACGTGACATCATCTTCTGAAAATTACTAGGCAGCTGTCTGTGACATTGTAAGGACAAGGACCGATTGATCATAAATCGAGTGGAATAATTAAGTCTCTCTCGTTTTACCTCACGAGGATCAAACGGCGCAAGGATTATGCCTCGCCAAGGTTATTGTTCCCATAAACTTGAATCTTTGAACTTCGAACCCATCAAAATTCTCTATACAATTATTATCTTAAAGGATAGTTTCTCCTTTGACTAAGGTATCCTGCACATTCGGGGTATCCAGATACATAAATTATTTGTGTAAAGTCTCAAATTTTACAGGAGCCTCATTTTGCCCCGGTGTCCCCTATCCTTTACAGTTTGGTAAAGCCCCGAAAGAAGGAGAAAAATAAACCAAGCGAGGGTTGATTCACACTTATCGTTTTTCATGTCTTGATCTCGGATATTTCAACACATTGCCCTCCATTTTGTTTTCATTTTCGAAGTACATGATTTATCTGAGAAGAAATCCCCTCAGAGCCCGGAGAGGTGATGATTTATTTAAGAAGGTATCCCCTGAGAGCTCGCGTCTGAAAAGGAATTCGTTGATTTCATTTTGCCGGAGCTATTGGGACTAGTCTTTCCTAATTGTCAGAAAAATTGATTCCGTATATTCTTCTATCAGCCGAAATATGACAGAACTTTTTACGAAACTGGAAAAATTTGACTTAACAAAATAAATATTCACTGTTAGAAAAAAAATGTAATTTTATTTACAGTTGACTACCAATTTTTGGGACAGTGACACTGAATGCGGTTTACAATTTCTAACTTTAAGTAGAATTCACGGGAATTCATGAGTTTTCAGTGGACCATAAATATTCAGAAACAAAATTACATGAATTTTCAATTTTTATCTTTAACATAATTCCTCTTCATTCAACGTCGTAACTTGTGAATTAAGGAAAAAAAGATAACAAAGTAAAGAATGGATGAAATTAAATTAATCTAATTGTGCAGACGGAAATTGAAACAAAATAAAATAAAATACAATATTATTAATCGGTGCAACGCGAAGTGCCCGCTCGCTAGGAACCAATTAATTGAATAAAGAAATATTGAATCTGAAAGGAAAAAGAGTACGATGAAAGGCCATCAAATTTCACTGTGAATTCATCACTCTAAAGATGATTCCATTATTAACCGCATTTCAAGTCATCAGCGGAGCGGTAAATCGGTTTAAGGCGACTCAGCCCTTAGCTGCCTTTTCGAGGAATATCTTTGAATCTAAGGGAGATGGGGAAATTTTCATAATGACGAGTAGATTCAGAGATATTCAGTGAAATTTTGCCAATAGTCAAAACCGATTTCGACCGTTTTACCGCTCCGCTACTGAAGTGAGTGATATGGTTATTAAATAATGGCTGTCTCGATTAAGGAATTAATAGAGAAAACCCATTCATCTGGGTAACGAGCGGGATTCGAAGAAAATGATGATGACGAATCTCAAGAGAAAACGTCGAAATATATTTTCTGCGGCGAATTCCCGATCTACAAGAGAGTTCTCCCGTTTTTCTTCCTTTCACGAGATGATGAATTCTCGAGATAATTACGTGACCAACATAAATTTTCTATCCGACTTGAATCATTCCACCTCGCTAGGGAATCATCTCGCTAATGAGCCGTTCCAGGAGAAATCATCGGAGAGCATTGCCAAAGGGACATTCTGTCGACCTCGAACAAGCTCTTGCGATTTTCGCTTCCGAATGGAAGCATTGTAAGGATTCAAATTTAGGTTTTGGATTTTTTTCTTATATGTGTACGTATGCACGTATGTCGTGAAGTTTTTATTCAATTATTCAGTAAGGAATGGAAGCCCTATCGACCGCCAATAATTAAAATTTAACTCGTCGATTAGTTTTTTAAATTTTCAATTTTTTTCGAAAATCGGCTGTTCCACGATAAGTAAAAAAATTTTCTGGATTGATTGAATGATGGCTTGAAAAAATTGTTTGGGTGTCTCTTTGACCGAGGTCGAAGATGAAGGCGATAGCAATAGTCGTTATTTTGATTTATTTGAAAATTTGCAATACTTTTGTATTTTTTGAAAATCAGAATTCCGGGGATATCTGTGAATATCATGGTTCAGATGAATTCAGTCATAGTTTAAAATGTTTGTTTTGATGCCATTAAGTCGAAGTCGAAAGATGATTACGATAGCTGCATTGGTTGATTTGATTTTTATGATGATTGTTGGGAATTTTGAATTTTTCATGAATTTTCCCGAAAGTGAGCTTTCTGATGGTTTCTTCAAATGTGATGTTTCAAATTCATTCAAGTATGTATAGATAAAATTTTTCTATTAACATTTTATCGAAGGGCTGAGGGGAGAGATCGAACCGTTTAAAAGACAATCGGAATTGGAATTTTTCTATTTATTTTCACAGGATTTCCTTCAAACATTAATGAAATCGTATATTTAATCAATGAAAATGTGTCAATTATATGTAATAAATCATTCTTTCATTCGAAGCGATTTGTCTCTTCGAATCAAATAAGATTTATGAGATCCAAGTGAACGACTACTGAATATAATAAAATATTGAATAAAACTATTATTTTTTTCCCGCTAAATCACATTCACTGTCACTGTCCTGAAAATTCGAGAACATATTTACCAGAATTTTCTGTTTTTCTATTCATTTCCAGGGAAAAATGGAGCTGAAATTTACAGTTTTCTTTGATTTTTCCACGAAAATCTGAATTTTCAATGCCGAAATTCCCCCCAATATCAGTGGTAATTAAATCGATAAAAGTTTCAAAAAAGTGTACCGGAAAAACTTCCCCCTAAATTCAGAAAAAATTTCCCGGAAATGTCCCGTGTCGTACGATTTCCCCGCGACCCTCTCAATTTTCACTGCCACCATTCCCTCAAATTTCCCTGCAACTCGAGCAGCCCAAAAACTTCCGGAATTCGGCCCGGAAAATTCAGTCGAAAATTTTCACCAGTGTGCCCACCGCCCAAACCTCCCTCCCCCGATCGCCACTTTCCCAACCAATTCCCCACACCGACGATCAGCAATCCTAAATAT